AGAATCTCACTGTGAAAAACAAAGCAACAAGAAAAGAAAGCTGAGATTCTTACATGGGAACAGTTTGGGGTGTTAAGAAAAAAAAGCCCACACCAAATGTGATGTGCAATTGAATCAAGAGAGTTATAAACCAAGCTCCAGTCTGCTCTGCATGAATATGATAGTCCTCTTTGCTCTTTTCACAGCCATGTCTTAGCCAAACACCTCCTTTTGCCACTGTGTGCAGTTAGCTGCTGCCCTCACGCATATCAGAGGTGGCTGCTTTTCAGTGGGACCCCAATGTGTGCAGTTACCAATCAAGGCTGCTCTAGGTTTATTTATTCCTGCCTTGGTCCAGGGAGCTGGATTTAATGACCTCTCAAGGTCCCGTCCAACCCACAGTTCTATGATCCATGCTTCAGTGCCATTTGAGATTTGAGGTTAAAGTGATCTGGCATGTGAACTCTGCCTTGCGCTCTCTCCAGACCATGTTAAAAACTCTTTCACCATCTCTCCTCTAGTACCCTCCTACCAGTGTCCAGCACATACACAGCTTTGAACTTCCCCACTCCCGCCCGGTGGATGCTGGCTTTGAACCTGCTGGGCTATGTCTACACTGGTGGGTTCTTGCGCAAAAACATCTTGCGCAAGAGTTCCTGCGCAAGAACTCTTGCACAAGAGCATGTCCACACAGCCATGGGCTTTTGCACAAGAGCATCCATGGCAGTGTGGATGCTCTCTTGTGCAAGAAAGCTCTGATGGCCATTTTAGCCATAGGGCTTTCTTGCGCAAGAAACCCTTGCCGCTCGTCCATACTGCCCTCTTGCACAAGAGCTCTTGAACAAGAGGACTTGCGCTTGTTAGAAGAAAGCATAGCCCCCTCTTCCCACGCTTTACTGTAACTCTTCTTGTGCAAGAGCAGGCAGGCTGTGTGGACGCTCTGCAGGTTCTTGCGCAAGAACCCGCCAGTGTAGACATAGCCCTGCTGTGAGTGGTGAGGAGGCTCCACCCTGCCCAGTAAGAGGAGTACTGCCTGTAACAGCTGCTACCATTCTACAGAACCCTGGGCCAGGGATTGGGGTGTGTGTGTGTGGGGGGGGAATAGCTGGAGTAGCTGCCTTGCAGTGCAGTGCATGATGGGTGCTGCCAGTGCCAAAGACCAAAGGGGGGTGGCAGAAGGGACTAATTCTCAGCCTTTCTGGTAAATGGGCTTTATGGTGCATCTGCACACCCCACACACTTTTAAAAAGAACTCGGCAGGGAGATTTAGAGGCATACTGGCTGTTTATTACACAGGCCATGCTGTGCCTGCCAGCACTGGATTTTTGGAAAACATTCTGGGATCCTTAGGCTTTCAGGCCATGTCTACATGAGCAGATTATTTCAGATTTACTAAGTTTGACTTCTTGGCACTCGGTTTTACAGATTTGAACTACCGTGTCCTCACTACGGGGAAGAATCTAACGTAGTCCAAGGTAGTAGTGTGTCAGAGCCCCAGGAAGCACTCTGGGGAGCTGTGAGAGGCCTTCCACAGGCCATTAGTTGGAATTAGTAGCACCAGAGCAGCTACATTAAAGTTTCAGGAATAGCATTACTCCTCGTGAAAAGCAGGACTACAGAGTTCAAATTCTGATGCCTCTTATTCTGGAGTAATGAGCTTGGTAGTGTGGACGCATTGCTTAGAAAATTGACATTGAGGGGCTAACTTCAGCCTAACGTCCTAGTGTAGACCAGGCCTAAAGTACAAAGACTATTGACTTTGGACGTTCATTGTATTGTGGGCGCGGGGGGAGGCTCCATGGCTCCCTTAACATCCCCTCAGCCTACTTTTATACCTCCGTTCTCGAGGGCCCTGTGTAACAAACACCTGCTTTCTGCTCAGGGTAGATTGCTCGGGGTCCCTATGGAACCCCCTCAGGACCACAGGATAAGGCTGAGTAACGGAAAACCCAGCAGTGCTCCCAGGCCCCACCAGTCCAAGACAAGAGGATTTGGGCTATGTGCACAGCAGCGCTGAGCAGCTTGGCCTCACCCTTCCCTGGTCACCGTCTCTGGGCTGGTGCAGCTGATCAGTGTTGTTTTTAATCAAGGCACTTTGCTCATCTCAAGCAGGGCTTGTCTCACACTCCTCCCGCTCTTATTCCCACCGCTCGTCAGGCACAGGCACACATTAACCTGAGCGGAGACAAAAAGAGTTGCCCTCAATCAATTCAACCTGTGCTCCCTCACCCACTATTGTCCCATTCCTCTGCCCCTTCCCTATCTCCACCCTGTGCTGGGCTGAGCTTCCTGCACACCTCCAAGGTCAGGAAGAGTTCACCCTCCCTGATCTTTCAAATTTTTTTTTCTCCCTGCCTCTAACATCCTAATTGCTTCAGAGCATAATTAACCTCAAGTGGTTTCATCTGCTACCGTCTCTTTTGTGCAGTTTCCCCTGTCCGCCCCAGCTCATGGCCTCCTTCCCTGCATTGCTGGGGCTTTTCTTCTGCTCTGAAGGGCTGGCTGCCTTTGAGTGACAAGAAGTGTTTTTCCACCACCACCACCCTCGGAAGGTGCTTCTGCAAAGCTAATTGCTTTTGAGGAGACCTCATCCCTGCACCCCACTTCCATCCCGTTCATTTCTGAAGACATGGGGAACTACGGGCTCCTTTCCCTGGCAAAACAAAGGAAGGCAGAACTCAGAGAGAGCCCCTCATATTAAGTTGAATCTGAGGGTCTCCCTGGTGGCAGCCTTGAACTTGACAAGGATGCATAAAATCTTCTGGTCTGAACTATTGTTTGTTAGAAGTGTTTTTTAGCCATATCACTCCCCAAGTGTCTTCCTATTCCCCTGCCAATAAACAGTAGCACAACTCGGTACTGTAAGAAGCCTAGCTGGAAAAACATCATTACAGCAGCCCAAACTGAGCCAGCCCACTGCTCCATGGGCCTGTTTAACAAATTCCAGGCTGTCCAGGTGTCTATGGTACTTTCAGCCAGTTAGGCAAGTCCTTCTGTCAACTACCATTGAGAGATGAGTCTCCAATGCTGCGCATTGTGGGGGGGGGGGTGTCTCAAATATATGTGTGCACAAAATGTGAGCTAAATCACACAGGCAAAAGTCTCCTAGGGGTCAGTGGTTGTTCCAAGAGAGGAAGGACAGTTAAAAGCCCTCATGGAAGTTTTGCCTGGGTACAACTGTTGGGCTCTAGCTCTTTGGTTTGGAAAGTTGCCTCTTCTGCTCTCCCCAGAGTGAAAGTTCCCAGACCTGAGTGACACGGGGGAAGTCCAGAGAGCTTGGTGGTGGCATAGAGTCCCACTTTCCCTCCCAGGCATTTCTGCTCCCTGCAGGAATCCCCTGTCCCCACCCTCAGACAGGTGCAATAGCAGGGGCATCTCCCTGAGGTATACATGGTTGAGTGGGATGAACCTGCTGCCTCTTTGGTTCCCCTTGCACATGCACACAGTGGTCTGTTGAGGGTAGTGTTGATTGGGCTTCTCAGCACAATAAGCCTTCATAATAGCACTCCATTAAGATTAATGCTCCACATTCTATTCCATAGATCTACTATTGCTGGCAGTCTGTAGAGTCAGGCACACTTAGGTCATGTTTCCAAGCTTTTTGTGGCCTATGAGAGCTAGAAACGTACTTAAAAAAAGAAACAGATTCTGGTGTAATGTGATTCTAGGAACTGGGATACTAGGACTGGGCTTATACTATGGTTTAGCAACCATAGCAACTAGAAGAAGAGAAACCAATTTTCAGTGGTGACCTTTAGGCATTAAGAACATAAGAATGGCCAAACTGGATGGCTACATCTAGACTGGCATGATTTTTCGCAAATGCTTTTAACGGAAAAGTTTTTCCGTTAAAAGCATTTGCAGAAAAGAGCGTCTAGATTGGCACGGATGCTTTTCTGCAAAATGCTTTTCTTGCGGTTTTGCGCAAGAAAGCCCCAATCACCATTTTCGCAATCGGGGCTTTTTCGCGCAAAACAATACTGTGTTGTCTACACTGGCCCTCTTGCGCAAAAGCATTTGCGCAAGAGGGTTTTTGCCCGAACGGGAGCAGCATAGCATTTCCGCAAGGACACTGACAATCTTACATGAGATCGTCAGTGTTCTTGCAGAAATTCAAGCGGCCAGTGTAGACAGCTGGCAAGTTTTTCCGCAAAAGCAGCTG